CAAGTATGAAATGGTCTATAGTACTTTTATCTAACAAAGTAATTGATGATAACATTGGAGATCAAGGTAATATTCATGTTGATAATAAATCGTATATTATAAACGATCAAGATGAGATTATTAGAGCAGATGAATCATATATTAGGAATGATCATAATGAGGGAATTTAGATCAAGAGTGCTGTCGAGCAGGTTCAGGTCGCCAACCCTGGTGTCCTGCTGGTCGTGGACGGGATAGGGCCGTACCACGAGATTGTTGACGGGAAGGTGATCGATCCCTATCTTGTTATTCCCGAGGAGGAACCCGCGGCTGCTGACCGGGCGGACGAGGAAGCATAGGTTGCCGGACCTGCGTGCTCGTTGTTTTTATGGCCTGCGTGCCGATGTTTGTTATCTTTTTCTTTGGGCCTGCGTGCTCTGCATTTGTACCATTGACTACTGGGCTGGTGCCCGCTTTTGTTTAATATGTTTATCGTGGATTTTCTAAGTGTGCGCTCGTTATTTGCATGTCGTTTTATGCTCGTTTTTCGTATTTGTTTGAATGCCTCTGATGTGTATGACATTTCTTGTAAATTTTCTAAGTGTGCGTTCGGTGTGTTTAGCTCGACAATTTGTCACCGGTAGTGCAGGGAACTGGCCGGTTTGGCCGGCGATGTGGCCGGGCCGTTTCGGGGGTATTCTCCCCGGGGCGTGGACGTCCCATCACGAGCTGGGTGTCCTGCCTCTTTTGGTACGACGGCGAGGAGCCTCGGTCGAGGTATTCCCTGCCGAGCAAGGCCTTCTGCCCGCGCACACGAGAGGCAGGGCTTGCTTTTCTTTGGTCGCTAGTGGACGCGGGGGTGTGCGGTGGTACCATGTCGCCCCCCCAGTGGTCGGGACGATGGGTCGTCGCGGGCAGTGTTTTAATTGTAGTACCGCTTAAGTTTCGCGGCGTTCCATGGTTGAGCTAGTTGTTCACCGTGTAGGTTTTCGAGGTAATAGGCCCCGTGCTCCGTTTTGTCTTGGACTCGGTACGGGCCTTCCCAGTTCGCAGCCAGTTTGCCCTCGTGGGAGTCTTTCTGGTTTCTGCGTAGGACTAAGTCGCGTGCTGTAAAATCGCGTTTTATGACTTTGTTGTTATGGCGAAGTGTGACTTGTTGCTTCAGCCGGGCTTCCCGGAGGGCTGCCCCTGAGCGGATTTCTTCGACGAGGTCGAGCTCTTCTCGGAGGGCGCCGTCGTTGTCGTCGGTGTCCAGGGGAGCTTCCGTTCGTCGGGACGGTTCGCGAACTCCGACCGGTATCACGGCCTCGGTTCCGTACGTGAGGCGAAATGGGGTTTCCCCCGTTGTTGAGTGGGGAGTGGTGCGGTATGCCCAGAGGACGCTATGGAGTTCTTCGACCCATGCTCGTTTGGCGTCGCCGAGTCGTCGTCTGAGTCCTCTGAGTATAACTCTGTTCGCCGACTCCGCCTGGCCGTTTGTCTGAGGGTGTTCGACCGAGGCGAAGTGGTGTTTGGTTCCGAGTTTAGTGACGAAGTCGCGGAAGTTTTTGTCTGTGAATTGTGTGCCGTTGTCGGTGACGATGGCGAGCGGGACCCCGAATCTGGCGAGGATGTTGCATTTGTAGAATCAGAGTATGTTGTGGGCGGTGATTTTGGCCAGAGCTTCGGCCTCGATCCACTTGGTGAAGTAATCGACTCCCACGATGAGGTACTTGTTCTGGTATGAACCTAGGGGGAAGGGCCCGAGGATGTCCAGCCCCCACCAGGCGAACGGCCACGGAGATGAGAGGGGCGTGAGGTCGGTCGGGGGGGCGAGGTGCATGTCCCCGTGTCGTTGACATTTATCACATCGTTTGACGTGTTCCTTTGCGTCGGACTGCATTGATGGCCAGTAGTAGCCTGCGCGTAGGGCCTTGCGTGCTAGGGATCTTCCGCCGAGGTGTTGTGCGTTGATGCCTTCGTGGATTTCTTCTAGAACGGCTGTACTCTGGGACTTATCTAAACACTTGAGGAGTGGGATTGCGAAGCCTCGGCGGTATAGTCGTCCCTCGAGGAGGATGTACGAGCAGGCCCGTCGCTTCGTCGCGCTGGCCTCGCCGGAGTTGGCCGGAAGGTGGCCGGTGCTGAGATAGGTGTGGAGCGGGGTCATCCAGCAGTCAGCGTCTCCGACGGCGTTGATGTCGAGGGTCGTGGTGGTCGCGCTGGTACTTGGTTGCGACAAGATTTCTTGAATGACCGATTTGTGGCCGCCTTGCTTTTTGGTGCTTTCCAGTTTGGAGAGGATGTCGGCGCGGGTGTTCTGCTCGCGGGGGACGTGCTGAATCTCCGCTGAGTCGAAACCTTTCAGTTTTTCGGTGATGAGCGCACCGGCCAGGGTGTCGTTTTTTGCTTGATATTCGCCTCGGACTTGCGAAGCGACCAGCTGGGAATCTGTGTAGATTCGGATGTCCCTGGCTCCCAGGTCGGATGCCAGGCGAAGGCCGGCGAGGAACGCTTCGTATTCGGCCTGGTTGTTAGTCGTTGGAAAAGCCAGTGTAAGGGAGACTTCGATGACCGTACCCTCGTCGTTATCGAGGACGATGCCGGCGCCGCTTCCCGTGGAGTTGGAGGAGCCATCCACAAAGATGGTCCAGAGGTGGTTCCCGGCGGTAGGGTCGGGGGGTGTGGTCATCTCGGCGACGAAATCGGCCAAAGCTTGAGCCTTGATGGCGTGTCGGCTCTCGTAGGTAATGTCGAACTCGGAGAGTTCTAGCGACCATTTCAGCATGCGTCCGGCCATGTCGGGGCGGCCGAGTAGCTGGCGGATGGGCTGATCGGTGCGGAGCACGATGGTGTGCGCGAGGAAATAATGTCGGAGTCGGCGTGCCGCTGTCACGAGGGCCAGGGCGACTTTCTCGATCAGCTGGTATCGGACTTCCGGGCCGTGGAGAGCTTTGCTAGTAAAGTAAATGGGCTTTTGTCCTTCCCCGGCTTCGCTGACGAGGACGGCGCTGACGGCTTCGTTGGAGACGGCCAGATATAAGTATAGGGTTTCGCCCGTCGCGGGGCGTGTCAGTACTGGTGGTTCAGATAGGACGCGTTTGAGGTGGCAAAGGGCTTTCTCACATTCGTCCGTCCATTCGAATTTGGTCTCCTTCCTGAGCAGTTTGAAGAACGGGAGGGCGTGTTGGGCCGATCTCGCGATGAATCGCGAGAGGGAGGCGAGCACGCCGTTGAGGGACTGGATGGCCCTCTTCGTGGTCGGCGTGGTGATATTGGAGAAGGCATGGCATTTGTCCGGATTGGCTTCGATCCCCCGTTCGGTCAAGTAGTAGCCGAGGAACTTACCGGCGCAGACGCCAAAGGTGCACTTTTCCGGGTTAAAACGCATGCGACATGACCTCGCGGTCTTGAAGAGCTTCTGGAGGTGTGCCGCGTGGTCGTCCTCCGCGCCGGATTTGACGATCATGTCGTCCATATATACTTCGAGCATGTCCCCGATTTCGTCGCGGAAGACACGGTTCATCATCCGTTGGTATGTGGCCCCGGCGTTTTTGAGGCCGAAGGGCATCACGTTGTAATAGTAATTGCCCGACGCCGTCATGAAGGCCGTGGCTTACTTATCGTGTTCGGCCATCGGGATCTGGTTGTATCCCGAGTACGCGTCCATGAAGGACAAGAGCTTGAAGCCCGCAGAGTTGTCGACGAGCTTGTCGATATTGGGGAGGGGGTAGGCGTCCTTAGGACATGCCCGGTTGAGGTCAGTGTAGTCAACACACATGCGCCATTTTCCATTATTCTTTTTAACGAGTACAACGTTGGACAGCTAGGTTGAATACCGGGCTTCCGAAATAAAATTTGCCTCTAAGAGGTCTTTTACAGCTTGTTCGGCCGCTGCCGATTTTTCGGGGGACTGGCGACGTCGGCGTTGTACAACGGCCTTTGCGGTTGGGTTGATGGACAGCTGGTGGCAGGCGACCTCGGGGTCGAGTCCCGGCATTTCCGCGGCGCTCCAGGCGAAGAGGTCGGCATTCTCACGGAGGCAGGCTTGGAGCTGACGTTTCGCAAGGTCTGGGAGTCCTGCGCCTATCCTCACGGTTCTGTTCGTGTCTTCCCCGAGGGGAATGAGTTCGAATTCTCCATCTGGGATGAGGCGCGCTGGGTGTGGGGGCTGCCCGTTGACTTCGTCGGTCTTTGTTTTATTGTCGAGCTCGTCGGTGAAGCGACTGTCGAGCTCAACGGATTCGACCAGCTCCGTTGGTTTGTCCTTTGGTGTAGCGCTTGACGCTTTCTTTTTGGTCGATGGAGCGATGGAGTCTAGGCCTTTTAGCGCGACTTCGAAACATCTTCGAGCGGCTTCGATGTCTCCGTTAAGGGTTACTACGGCTCCCCTTCTCGTGTAGTACTTCATCTTCAGATGGACGGTGGAGGGTACCGCAGTGAGTTCTGCTATCGTCGTCCTGCCCAGGATGCAGTTATAGA